CTTTCTTCCAACCTATTCCTACACCACTGAACACAGCTCGTCGAGGCAGTTGGTCGTTAGGCATATGTAACACGTGTCCCAGCCATCTTAACTGATGAAGTTTCACCACTTCATCAATTGATTTGCCATCCTTACCTAGTACCCATTTCCTAACAACTGCATTAATTACTCGGTGGTCCCATGATATACGAGCAATGCTTCAAAGATATCTATAATCGAATACCAGTAACCTACGAATATCCTCTACTTTACCGGCCATGTTTCACTGCCATAAAGTAGGAACGGAAAGTTCTGCTGCGCAGTAAACCCGTCCTTGGATTGGTAGACGGGTATCTCACCTACTCCATAAATAACGTAAGTTGGCCAAAGCTAGTCGAGCCTTCTGTATCCGTGCTGAGATTTCGTCACACACTAAACCACAAGGGCTGACGAGACTTCCAAGATAAGTGAAGCGGTCGACACACTCAACTACTTCACTCCCTATCACTAGTTCGGGTGTCGATGTAACCCAATCCTGAAGCAACATTTTGCATTTAGAGGGAGAGAATCGCATCCCGAACATGCTTGCATTGTTGCTTAGAGTGTCCAGAAGACTCTGCATTTTGTCAGCGTCTTCACCAAATAGAACTATGTCATCTACATATTCTAAGTCAACAAGCGAATCTCCTGGTAGACGTTCAACTAGAAATTTAGATGAGGAAAGTGTTATCTCTAAAAGCACGTCAACGACAAAGTTGAACAAGAATGGGGAGAGTGGACAGCCCTGACGAACACCACTTGAGGTAATCAATTCTGATGACAGTTCGCCATAAGCTCTCACTCGACCCGTTGTGTTCGAGTAGAGAGCCTTTATAAGGTTAATGTACTTCTTTGGTACTCCTTTCAGTGACAAACACTGCCATGGAACCTCACGATCAAGAGTCGAATGACGCCTTAAGGTCGAGAAATACTACCATTGTGGGGCGTCTGAATGTGTGTCTGTGTTCTAGAACCTGACGTAGTGTATCTGATCTATACAACCACGTCCAGGTCGAAAACCAGCCTGATTTTATCTAGTCTGTTCTTCACGAGCTTTGGTTAGGCGTCGAAGTATTATTGAGGCTAATATTTTAGACACTATATTAGTCAAACTGATTCCACTGTGATTGTCACAAGAGGACTTTTGTCGTTTCTTATAGACTGGCACAATCAGTGATTGAGACCAGTCAGATGGGATTACGTCCAGTTCCCAAATTCTACCTAAGACCTCGGTTAATCTGATTGTTAATACTGGACCACCATCCTTAAAAATCTCAGGAGTAAACCTGTCGGGGCCTGCTGCTCTCCCTCGTTTCAGATTTCCTATGGCTTTTTCAACTTCGTAAAGGGACGGAGGACCTACATTAACTTGCCATTCAGGTTGACTAGAGATCGTGGGAAACCGAAGTGTGGCTGAAGGCCAGTTGAACTAATCCCTAAAGTGTTCTGCCCATCGATCCAATCTCCTGGATTGAGAATGAATAATATGTCCATCTTTCTCTGAGATTGTTTCGCTAACGGTCGGGTTCCTAATTCCGGTTTCCTTAACGAGTCTGAACAATTGTCTGCTATTACCTATTGCCGCTGCCTTTTCCATCTCTCTTGCCTTGCTACCCACCACTGTTCACGATCATTGCGTAGACTTCTTGTCAGCCTGCGCTTAAGCTGACTCCGCTCTTCGTTATGTTCAGAGCCAGATGGGACGAGTTTTCGAGCGTCTATCAGTGTGGTGGATGCTGCTGAGATCCCGTGTTTCTCCTTAATCTTCTGGTTTACCTTACTAGCAGATATCACTATTGTTCCCACAGCTTTTCGGATATCATTCCATGCTGCATCGGGATGGGCATCACATTCATGGCTGCCTAACTGTTTTTCTAGTTGTTCCTGAAATATATTCGTAGCTTGACTATCATTAAGTAGGCCTCTAAGAGGTTTCCTTGCAGTGTCTTTCCTACGTTCAGTAAGACGCAAGTAAATACGCGCTCGCGCTAGAACATGATCCGAATCCAATCATATGTTCCAGGACGACCGACAGTCTTCTATCGAGCTCCTCCATCGGTGGCTGATAGTAATGTGATCTATTTGGGTCCAACGTTGGGACGAATTAGGGGGTTGCCATGCCAAAATGTGTTTTTCCTTATGTTTACAGTTAGTATTTGCAAGAAACAGGCGGTTATCTGAGCGTAGCTGCAACAGACGGTCGCCATTATCTGTTCTTTGAGCCACGACACCATAAGATTCACCCAGGTGTCTTTCCTTTTCGCTTAGCTTACCTACTTGAGCATTAAAGTCACCGGCCACTATTACTACATTGGAGCGCCTAACTTTTTGCAGGTTGGAAAGCTTTCTGTAAAACTCATCTTTTACATCATCTGAGCTGCAGTCAGTGGGAGAGTAGGCAGAGACAACGATGAGGCAACGACGAGTGTCCCTATCTTTTCGGATCCTCATTGTTCCATTCAGTCGGACAGCGCACAAACGACTGTCTACTGGGATCCACTCTAAGAGAGCTAGTTCTGCCCTAGAACTCAATGCTATACCTACGCCGGCGAGGCCACGGGGAGCATAATCAGGGCTTCCATATACACGAAGCGTAAATCGAGTCGGTTCTTTATTTTGGTATGGTGAGGTCAAATGAATGACGCTACTTGGATCCTGTATGCGCGTTTAGGAGACGCAGCACACATCGATGGCGCGAGATTCTAAAGTTTTAGCTAAGGAAACCTGCTGTCCTATTTGGCAAAGCTCCTACGTGTAGTTTAGAGCGTGGTTTCAGGAGACCAGGAATGGCGTTCCACGTACTCGAATCGTTTGCCCTAGCGGTGCGAGGTGATAAAGAGACGTGAGTAGGGTTAGTCGGGGAGATAAGAGAGGTATTAAGAGGTGTAGAAAGGATTTGAATGTGACCAACTTGGTCTCTTGTGCTGTTACGGGTATGAGGGCTGATATCACTTCCCGGCTGCCCACACCGTGGAAGGGTATTTCTTGAGGAACCTGAAAAGGAAATTGTATTAGTGTTAATCTTGACGACCTGGGAGCGTGACCGCAGAGCCCAAGGGACAACTGCTTGAGGCCGGTCGCGCACGGCCTTTTTGTGGAAGGTTTTTGACCCGACCACCGCGTCAAGGTAGCAGCTTCGATCGGGACTAACAATATGTAGGTCTATTTTTAGTGTCAGTTACATTTATTGACATAAAATACGATTATATTTAAGTCCAAATTAGACAATAAAGATTTTGGTGCAGTTTTATTCTCTGACTTGGATGGTTTAATTGTGAAGCTTTTATTATTCTTCCAAGCAACATCACCAGCATAAACTTCAGGTAGAAGTTTTTGCTCGACGACCAAAACATTCAGTACAGAGAACAAAACTCGACCTAAATCATCCACCTGAGCTACAAATCTCCACCACGTCATATATATAAATCACATATCTCTATACCATAGAATGACAATTTAGATAAATATTTCAAAGACAACAATTTTAGCAGTTTAAAACAATTTTAATAAATAAGATTTCTCTCTGTGTAAGTTTGCGAGATAATGGTTACGCAATAGGAGAGGTAGATTCTGATTTAAGTTCAATAGTAAGCGAAAATGGCCATGTTTACTTGAATCGACAAATTCACAATGAATGTAATGAAGAAGAATGCCCACATAAACTACAAATAATTATTGTTCATATAAAATACTCTTACTTTAAAACACGTTGTGGTATTGGTAATTGATCAACGAATAAGGTTTCTTCTAATTCGGATAACGCTTCAGCATAAACCACTTTATTTGACATTTTAGAACTGAAATATTTAGTTTTTAAGATTTGTTTGAAAGGAGAGAGAAGACAGAAAAGTTGTGAACAAGATAGAGATTAAAGGTATTCGCTGGTCAAATGCATATAATACTGATAATAAACAATTTTTTCAGATAAAATCAATTCGACAGTTATATTTATGACATGCGATAAGACATTATTTCATTTGTCAGTTAATGAGTCTTTCTGTTGATGATGCTAAGGGCCGTAACCGATCTATGATCTCCTTTGGAATAGGTACATCCTTAACGGACTGTCCCGATTATCATTAAACTTTAAGTAAAATTAGATACTGAATAACAGTAGGATCCAGGACGCCCGTTTAATCTTACTTAAGACTCGTCGGTTGTATGTACCTGCACCCGAGTGTCGATTTTTATTTCGGGATAGAATAGTTTAGAAGAGATTGCCCATAATGTATCCGCTTAAAAGCACACTATTATTAGTTAGCCTTTTTACATAATTCTTTATTAGTGTATCAATACTAACCCGAGATCACTGGACAGTAAATAGTTTCTTCCTAGTATGAAACTTCTTAGTGGTGTGCACCGACGACCTCACTAAGGTTCAGAATCTGAACCTAAAGATCTTATGGTGAGTACTTAAGCTTTAAACTACTTAGATAAAATCCACTGGTTTGCTTTCTAACACTGATTAATTCATGATGAAAACTAACTACAATTTAAACTAATCTTTACAAAACCTATTTAAAAAACCGGTTTTTCCAAATATACGTCTGAAATAATTAAGCACATAACAGATACGTAGTATACATTATCCACAAATTATAACACGAAGTGTGAAAAACAAAACTATCACGATAGATTTTTTATTATCCTTATCACTTTGGATAAGGATTCATTTAATGATACTTTTAAGCTAGAGCAGACGATAACATTGTTGGATGACAGGTAGGTGCAAAATGTTAATTTGAACAGTGTGACTTTGATCGACATGTGTTGAAGTCTAAAAATATTCCTCGAAAGTCAGTCAGTCAAAAGCAATATGAAACTTGGTGCAGGTGTACATTGGTACAATTCGTCAGATCAAATCACGGAGTGGTAAGGTGTTATAATCTCTTTCTTCTTACGGTTAATGACCCAGCTATTCCTATTGCTTAGTATTCTTGGACACCGATTCACTCGACAAGTCCCCAAATCAGAACACGGTTGAACAGGAAAGAGATTATATTCCAAATAGCAAGTCAGAAGCACAATAGGGAAAAACGTCAGTATATTTATAGTTTTTACATAAGAAGATTCCAGAATATTCTCCAACTATCGACTAGTGCTGATTGGATAAGAATTAGCCAATCAGCGTGCACCAAAGCAATCATGCATTGACCATGCTTTAATCTAGTCTATGTTCCGCTAACACCTCCCCTCTGAGCAGATTCGTAGGATCTGGTGCTAGGGTCCAACTGCAACTGAGTGACTGGCTTGTGCTTTTGATTAGTCCATCGTCTAGGCAATAGAGAAGTATCACTCTTTTCTTGCACAGAAACTGACGTATCTATTCCCGGCGTTTTGATTTCAAAGGTGTCTAGCAGAGCATCAAGAGGTAATCGATATTGAATCTTGTTGCTGGCTATCGAAGTTGCTTTCAATTGGTTAGCATGACGTACCCAAACTTCCGAGCCAACTGACACCTCGTAAACCACACTCCCCTTCTTTCTCAAGATCCGACCAGCTGTCCATGTAGGATGTTTCCCACGATAGTCCATAGCAAGCACTTTTTGTCCAACCGTGAACAATTGTCTTTGTGCCCCATGATGTCGGTTAAACTGATTCTCCATCGATAGGTTTCGTTGGGGATCAATAGCTGGCGTAGGACGGATGACATCGAAATGTGTTCGTATTTTTCCTTTCGGTTTTCCTAGTAACCTATCACCTGTCTTCTTTGGAAGTACTGGGGTGTCCAATGATGAACACGATACGTTACAGACACTGTTAATTGGTACATCCATTATTCCAAGTTTGTCTAACATATCTAGACCAAGAAGATCAAGGTTCGGCTGTTCTGTTAGGTAACATATTCCTGTACAGTTAGTTCCCTTGAAGGAAAATTCACACTGTAATTCACCAACCAGTTTTAGCACACCACCTGATGCGTTTTTAGCCGTTTTCTTAGATGGCTTCATTGGCGGTTTACCCAGCAAGTTATACGTTTCTCTAGACACTAACGTGATATCTGATGCCGTGTCAATTTGAAGACGAGCTGATATGCCGTTTATCTGGATGGTAGCATACTTTCTCCGAATATCATAGTTTGTTTGAAAAACAGCTACCAGAGAGAGAGATTTAGACTCGGCTGATTTCACATGTCGAGGACGTTTATGCTTCTTCTTAGGCTGAGACGTACGCTTCGGTGGACAATGACCTTCTTTATGTCCACGTTTGTTGCACTCCTGACATTTATGCTTCTTGAATGGACAGAATCGTGCATAATGCCAATCACCGCATAACCAGCATGCAGTCCTTGGTTTGTTACGAGTTGTTACCGGCTTTTGAACTTTTAACCTAGTAATAGTATTTACACTACCGCAGGTTAAATTAGGATTTACCTGTTCAATCAACTCGTTGTCGTGTCTGATGCTTTGTAGACGCTTACACTCATCTGTCAATATTCTGAGTGTGACGTTTGGGTCTTGATCCAGTCGAGCTAAAAGTTTCGTCCTGATCTCAGCATATTGTGGTGACTGAAGAGCTTTGATGAATATTAGGCATTTAAATTGGTCATCCGTCAACGAGCGTAACTTGAAACGTTCACATTCTCTGTTGACAATGTCTGCTAGAACACCATATTCATCAGCTTCGCGTTTCACCAAATTTAGACACCGATATCGAATACTAAACAACGAGGATGACTCGCCGAATATCTCTGACAACTGAAATACCGTCTCCTCGAAACTGAGCTCTCGAGGTAACTTTGGCAATATATGGTCAGCAAAACGTGCATGTTCACTGCTTCCCAACTTACGTACCAACAATCGGGTCTTTCACGCATCGTCTTGGTTACAAAATTCCGTTCTAAATGTACTGTTATGGATAATGTCCTTAATATCTGACTCCAAATAAATAATAATATTCCGTAACTGAGTATTTAAGGTAGGCTTAATCTCCTAGTAGAATTACGGATTTACTCGAGATTATTAAGAAGCCTGAACACCAGTTATGGAGATAGTTTATTATTAATGAATAATGATAATCCACAAGCGTATTGTGAGCAAGCACACGATGGGAACAGAGAGAGTGTGAGTTTGTTAAAAATCCATATATATTTGAGGGTTAATCGGGTGTAGATAAATTATCGATTATCTGCACGTTGAAACCAATAGGAAAATAGTTTAAAAGTTAATGTACAGACATGCATTCGATCATACACTCCGAAATTAACATAGTGAATTAAGAGTCTAAGTTACAATGAATAGACAGATGATACAGTGGCCAAATGGGCTTGCCACATAAGCTCCCATCCAGAACATTGATGTTTGTATGTACCAAAAAAAAAATTGGATTAACATCTATGTTCGACAAAGCGATAAAGAACGGGACTGTTTTTAAAATAAAAGTACAACTCAATATGATGAGTAAGCGTAAAACTGTAATAACAGCTTGTGTGTTGAAACGTTTCATATCATGTATATACAAGTGTATATTTAACATTAATGAATTGTATAAAGTTAAAATGTAAGCATAATGATGATCTGTGGGGCCAATAAAAAAAAATAGTAATCAAAATAAAGTAGGATTTTTATGTGTTATAAGAGTAGTCTCAGGATTTGGTCTAGATAAATATGGTGGTTGCTACATACCTATCTGGCCAATGTACTCTCCTTCCTGATCTTGTTGTAGTTTGTGCTGCTGCTGAATTTTGATTTGAAGTGTTGCTTGTTGCAGGTAGTTTGAATGGTGCTTGCTCTGCTGCAGGTTTAGACGGTTTTACAGTTGTCTGTTTTTTCTCAAAAATATTTCGTCTCATACCGTAAGGTACAAAAGGGCGAGTTTTACCTGTTGAGGTATCACAAGTTAAGGTGTCCTTGTTGTTTATGGGGATGTTTTGGAATAATAATTTCGTTTCCTTAGACTGCAAAAGCTTTTGTAGCTCCGTATCGACCTTTTGATGCTTTGCCATTTCTTGATAGTCTATATCAGGGATCGAGAAGGTATTGATATTTAATCTCGATAGTGCATCTGCTGCCTCATTTGCATTGCCTTTAATATAGCGTATATCAGCTGCAAATTGTGAAATGAATTCTAGTTGACGAATTTCGCGCGGACTATATTTATCATGATTGTGCATCAAGGACTTAGTTAGGGGTTTGTGATCAGTATATATCGTGAAAGAATTGCCTTCTAACATGTAGCGAAAGTGTTTGATGGCTAAGTAGATAGCCAACAGTTCTCTACCGAATGTGCTATATTTCGTTTGCGTTGCGTTTAGCTTTTTTGAGAAAAATGCAAGGGGTTGCCATTGTTCATTGACACGTTGCTGAAGTACAGCACCTACTGCTACGTTAGAAGCGTCGGTCATTATTGCTAAAGGTGCAACAACCTTTCGTCGTGCGAGTAATGCCTCTGTGCTTAAAGCGCTTTTCAACTGATCAAATGCTTGAATTGCTTGCGGTGTCATTGCTAATGATTTAGCTCGTCCCCTTAATAAATCAGTTAGTGGTTTTGCTAAGTCTGCACATTTAGGGATAAAACGTCTGTAAAAGTTTATCATCCCAAGGAAACGTCGTAGTTTCTTGAATGAATCAGGCAAAGGATAATTTTTGATAGCTTGTGTTTCCTCAGGAACTGGTTTAATGCCTTGCTTATCAAGTACGTGACCTAAAAAGGTGAGGGATTGTTTTCCGAACTCACATTTGTCAGGATTGACTGCTAATCCATACTCGTTTAGCTTCTCAAAAAGCATTTTCAGATGAGTTAGATGTTCATTTTCATCTTTGCTTGCTATAAGTAGGTCATCTATGTAAGCATACACAAACGGTAAGCCCCGTACCACTTGGTCAATAAAACGCTGGAAACTTTGTGCAGCATTCCTTAATCCGAAAGGCATGCGGACGAATTCGTATAGTCCAAAGGGGGTAGTAATGGCTGTTTTAGGAACATCGTCTGGATGAATTGGAATGTGATGGTAAGCACGGACGAGATCAATTTTTGAAAAAATCGACACGTCAGATAGGCTATGAGTGAAGTCATGCAGATGTGGGAGAGGATATCTATCTGGTATGGTCCGGCTGTTGAGAGCTCTATAGTCACCGCACGGTCTAACTTCGGAAGAGTTTTTCTTAGGTACCATATGAAGCGGTGATGCCCACGGACTATCGGAGGGGCGTATGATGCCCAACTCAATCATTTTGTTGAATTCGTTCTTTGCGATAGCCAGACGAGAGGGATCAAGGCGTCTTGGACGTGCGAACACAGGTGGACCCTCTGTCTTTATGTGGTGTACGACGGTATGCGTCGGTTTGTCGTGTTTGAAACTTGGTCGTAATAAATCTGGAAACTGATTAAGTAAATTGACGTATTTGTCGTTCTCATGATGAGGTTTAACTAATAAATGTATGGAAGTCTCATTTGATATAATTCCTCTAATTTCCTTACTCTGTTCAGCAAGGACAAGTTTCCTATTTCTGACATCTACCAGTATTTTGTGGAATTGCAGAAAATCAATGCCGATTATAGGAACGAGGACGTCCGCTATGATGAAACTCCAGAAAAAATTAGATTTAGGACCGAAATTTAATTGCAACCGCCTCTTGCCGTACGTCTTGATGTCAGACCTGTTTGCAGCTTGTAGTTTTAGTTTGGGGTCAGGTGTGTTTTTCTCGAGTGCAGTAGGTGGTACTACACTAACCTCTGCCCCAGTGTCGACTAAAAACTGTGTGCCGGTTCTTTTGTCTGTAACATATAATAGACGACTGTCTTGAAAGTTGTGGTCAGTGAGTGCAGTCGTCATTAACCTACGGTCTTGACGTTCCTTTTTCTGTGTGCTTGCAAAGTTACAAGGCGGAGTACATTTTCTAGCTTGTTTGCCATATGTTCTATGGTACCAGCAAATGTTGTGTCTAGTAGTGCTTGGACTACATCGTCTACGGCTTGTGGATGTTCCTCTACGCTTGCTGTGGGAGGCATTCAATAATTGGATCTGAGCTATCTGTTTCGTAAGGGTATCAACTGATCGTCGTAACTCGGCGATCTCGTCAGCTGAGCTTGATTGGATTTGAGATACAAGGTGAGTCTTGGACCGTTCGTAAATTCTGTCGGCTATGTCTGCTAGTCTATCAAAATCAACGTCTTCGTCTCCAATTGCTAGTATCTGTTGAATGTTTTGAGGGAGACGTCTGAGCCACAATTGATATAGTAGACGTTTGTCTACTGTACGATTTCCTAATAAGTTTGTCATGTGGCGTTTTAACTGTGACGGTGTATTGTCACCTAGCTCCACGTTGGCTAAAAGTTGATCAATTGTCTGTTGATCGGTGAGAGATGTGACACGAATGACCTCTCTTTTTAGACAATCGAATGGTGAGTCAGGATCCGGCTTAAAAATGACATCCGGCACTTGTTCAATGACGTCATCTGGCAGCAGTGAATTTGCATAACTAAATTTCGTACTCTGGTTTGTGATTTTGTTTGCAACAAAAAAGCTTTCCAAACGAGCGAACCAGAGTTCAGCCTTTCGTGGATTAAAAGTAGGTAAAGGTACAGAAATGGCACCCACGGAAATAGATTTAGATGAAAGGCTTAACGAATTATCAAGTGCCATGATACGAAAAAGCAATAGTAATAATAAGCTGAGGATTGTAATATATAATATGAAGAGAAATCAAAAATAACAACAAAAAATATATATAAGACTCACCGAAAAGAAAAATTGTCACTTTGGGTATATGTATGAGAATATACAGTAATAATTCCAAAGGGAAAATATTATGAGTGAATTTATTATGACTGTCAATGGATTGTTATTAATTATAATAATAATTCCAATATGAAGTTCTTTATGATACTCTTGAGGAGAATGCAGCAGACTTTGGAGGAAAATGGTGCGCGTTCTAAAGGCGGGTCACCAATATGTTATGGATAATGTCCTTAATATCTGACTCCAAATAAATAATAATATTCCGTAACTGAGTATTTAAGGTAGGCTTAATCTCCTAGTAGAATTACGGATTTACTCGAGATTATTAAGAAGCCTGAACACCAGTTATGGAGATAGTTTATTATTAATGAATAATGATAATCCACAAGCGTATTGTGAGCAAGCACACGATGGGAACAGAGAGAGTGTGAGTTTGTTAAAAATCCATATATATTTGAGGGTTAATCGGGTGTAGATAAATTATCGATTATCTGCACGTTGAAACCAATAGGAAAATAGTTTAAAAGTTAATGTACAGACATGCATTCGATCATACACTCCGAAATTAACATAGTGAATTAAGAGTCTAAGTTACAATGAATAGACAGATGATACAGTGGCCAAATGGGCTTGCCACAGTATCTTCCCAACGTTTGAACCACGTGAGAAAAGTATTTCCACTTTCGGGATCATAGATGAATTCTGGGATGCTGCTAGCGACTGCATCACAAGACGTACTTGAAATAGCATGTGAATTCGAGCAGTGGATGTTAAGCTGTTGAGTCAGTCTCCAACAACCGCATTTGTGCATCAAGTTGTGTTTGCTGTTGTTGTAGTATTCGGTTAAGCTGGTCATCTGATATGGGCATCTTGAATTTGTTTTCCTTTTTCCCCGTCGCCACTGTTATAATCTCTTTCTTCTTACGGTTAATGACCCAGCTATTCCTATTGCTTAGTATTCTTGGACACCGATTCACTCGACAAGTCCCCAAATCAGAACACGGTTGAACAGGAAAGAGATTATATTCCAAATAGCAAGTCAGAAGCACAATAGGGAAAAACGTCAGTATATTTATAGTTTTTACATAAGAAGATTCCAGAATATTCTCCAACTATCGACTAGTGCTGATTGGATAAGAATTAGCCAATCAGCGTGCACCAAAGCAATCATGCATAGAGCATGCTTGAATCTAGTCTATGACCCGCTAACATAAGAGTATTGAAGTACTACAATAAATTAAGCATTAAAGATACTAACCAAGGAAAAAAATCAGCGGAATAAAAAAACAGTGATGAGTTCCGATATTTATAAATTAAGAGCGAACGAAAAGTGGATGCATCTATGCCACTGCACACGATTTTAAGCTACGTCATTTAGAGTCTTCAACCATTGGTTATGATGATGACGTGGACTCCAAACAGGGAATCTAAACCTTATTTATTTATTTGAACAGAAAAACATTGGTACAAAGGGGCACCAGATACATATGCGCCATACAATAATAATGAGAATGTGAATATATAAAGAATGTAAGGTGAGTATAAATAAAAAGAAGTACAACAATGAACAGAATTTGTGTATGATACTGAAATAACAATAATGGGAGGGGCAGTTCAATTGGTAAAAGTACAACCACAAAGAATTCTTCCACTTAAAGAGGTGACGTCTTTTTTATGGAGAAAGTAAAAAAAGCTACAGCAGGACCGCCATTGGTTTCTATTCTGAGCCATATCTGATAACGTCTCTCACCACTGTGTAACACCATCTCTCGGACCCCAGCAAGGGAGTCATGAAGAACCAACAGAAGCCAGTCACGCACAACTTTCTTTCATACCACGACACCATGTCATACACTGACTACCTCTCAGTTTTTTCCAACTGGTCCTAGAGTGGGCAAATAATTCACGACGTGGAATTCTCTGGGACGACATTCGTAGAACATGTCCAAGCCACAGAAGTCGATGTTTCAAGATAGTGACACCAACTGAATTATCGTCTCTGTGCTCGAACGAACGATGCTGAACCTCTGCATTACTAACATAGTGTTGCCACTGGATGTCAGCAATCCTTCGGAGACAGCGATGATCAAACACAGAGAGTCGTATAACATCCCCAACTCGGGAACTAGGTTTGACAAGCATAGAGCAAAACTGCTCTCACAGACGCGTTGTTCATCTGATCTTTTGCAGCCAGACTAACATCACGACGGCACCAAACATGGCCCAGATTGACATGAGCCGCTCTGGCTTCCACTCACGCCACCACCAGCACTTGTGCAGCTACCTAGATACACGAACTACTCGACTACTTATATCCGCTCACCATACAGGGTGAGTGCAGGATCAGGGTCCTGCCAATCTTGTAGAAGTACTTTGCACTTCGAAGTTGAAAAGCTGATACTGTGGTGCGTGCTACTTATAGCGATGTAAGTAGTATATGACGGGAGTTAAAAACGCAATGTCTGGAAGCAGAAGATGGAGAAAGATCGAGAAAGGAAGAGTGACAACACAATGCGATTTGTAAGAAAACGCATGAACAATGAAATGTGAGACAATTGATTGATGTTTGCAACAAGCACAGTTCAGGTTGATAGGATGCATTGATATTTTGCAAATTAACGATTAACTATATAGTTTTTCTACTTTACCAAGTAACTTTGTAATTTTGTGCTAAATATGATTCGGTTGTCCTCACCTGTGTTCTCTTTCACCACATTAGATGTCATTGCCTCCACTAAGGATTAAGATTCCATGGCCGGAGGAAATTGAGGACGGAGACGTGCTGAGCTTCCTGAAGGAGTTTGAGGCCGTGATGGAGCTGGCGGGAGTGAAGGAGCCGAAGGCGAAGTTGGTGGTGCTGGGGACGCTGCTGAGAGGCAGAGCGATAGCTGTATATGATAGTTTGGGCGGTGCTGGCCGAAAGACGACATGGGAGACGGTCACGGAGCGGTTACTGGCGGAGTTCGACAACCCGGTGGACAGGGTGGAGGCACTGCAGAGGTTTTGGTCGACGAGGTTGTCGGTCGGTGGTGACCCACTGGTGCTGTCTGTGGAGCTTACCAGATTGTTACGCCGTGCGCTGCCGAGTCTGGATGAGGAGTCAGAGGCACAATTGTTGGCGTCGCAGTTTATCGAGAGTGTGCCTGCCACCGTTTACAAGTAGCTGAAACTAGTGAACGCAGCGCAACCGATTTATATCTGTGAACTGGCGAAGGTGACTCGTCAGCTGGTGACACGAGCAGTAGCTCCGGTCGGGTGCGAAAAGCAGGAGATAAATAATGTCGAGAAGATTGAGGAGCTGGAGCGTGCGATTTCAGCAATACGAGTGAACCATAAAAGGAACGATAAATGTTACGCTTGTGGAGGGACAGGACATTGGAAGATAAACTGTCCAACAAGACGAAGACGCAGATATTTTAGACGTTATAACGTGTGTTCTTTCTATCCTAGGAATCTGGGGGTTGTTGCGTTAGTAGATAAAGGGGCAGTTTATACGAGATTGAACATAAACAAACGAGATTTAGTTTGTCTGATCGATACAGGTGCAGCAGTATCGTTAATAGACAAAGAGCAATGTAAGAGACTCAAGCCATGTACATGAGCTGTCCACACTATAGGAGGCCATATGTTAGAGGTGTTGGGGGTATATAACAGTATCGTAAAAGTGGGAGATGCTGAGATAAATTTTCCGTTCGTGGTAACCACAAGCTTATCGAGACAGATATTAGGAGCAGATTTCCTAAGAGAAGTAAAAGCGATAGTTGACTTAAGAAGCAGTAAGATGGTCACAAAGTATGGTTCATTGACAATACACGAAAGTAGCGAAGTGGCTGAAATAAGAGTGGCAGGGGATGTCTCGTCGAAGAAACCAAACATTAACGAGTTATGAACAAAGTATGCGAAACTATTCACTGAAGATGGGGAGCCGTATGGATTTTGACAAAGTGAAGCACGAAATCCCGATAAAGAACGATCGAGTAAATATATTTGCAACACGTGTCCCGGTGCATTTAGAGGCTGAGGTAAATCGTCAGGTCCAGGTAATGTTGAAAGAAGGTATAATTGAGGAAGCGGACAGCCCATATAGCTCACCGGTACTCTTGGTAAACAAACCAAATGGGAAGTATAGATTTTGTGTCGACTTCAGAGAATTGAATAATATAACAGACCTGAAACCTTGTGCAATGCCAACAGTGGTGGAAACATTAGATCGGCTACAGAAGGCCACGGTGTTTACAGTGTTGGACTTACGGCCAGGTTATTGGCAACTGCTTATAAAACAGAGCGATCGAAGCAAGACAGCGTTTACTGTACGTGATAAACAGTATCAATTTAAACGAATGCCGTTCGGGTTGGCTGGTGCACCATTTACGTTCAGAAGATTAATGACGCTACTGCTCAAGAATCTAGATAATGTCGAGGTATATAGCGACAATGTAGTTGTGTACAGTCAGACAGAAACAGATCACGTCAAGTATGTGGAGGCGGTCTTAAAGCGAATTGACAAACTTGGACTTCGAATTAATAAGGACAAGTCGCAGATAGCGAGAAATAGCGTCACATTGTTGGGACATAAAGTGAGAAATGGAGAAATAAAACCATTGCCGGAGAAAATCCTTACCATAAAAAATATTGCAGTGCCTAATTCGACAAGGAAGTCGAGACAGTTCCTGGGAAGAGCGGCGTTCTACAGTCGGTTTGTCAAGAATTCCAACGAAATAGCAGCACCCCTATATAAGTTGTTGAGCAACACCAAGTTTACGTGGACTGAGACTGCCGAACAAACGTTCGACCGAATCAAAAACATGCTAGACGACCGTCAGATGACACTCGGACTGCCTAAACCCGGAAAACTGTTTACAGTAGCCACAGACGCAAGTGGTCATGGTATAGGTGCTGTGTTGAGTCAGGCTGATAGAGTGGTGGAATACGCGAGTCGCGTCCTCACACCCGCTGAACAGAAGTATTCAACCATCGAAAAGAAGTGTTAAGCAATCGTGTGGGCAGTGGAAAAATGGAGACCGTACCTTTTAGGTAGACGATTTCACAATGAGACCGACCATAAACCCCTGCAGTGGTTGAAAACAGCAAGAGACCCCCGAGGGAAGTTGGCGCGATGGATGATACGCCTGCAAGAATACGATTTCAGTATCGGCCATGTTCCAGGAAGAGAAAACGTAATGGCAGATTACTTGTCAAGACCAGACATGGAAGCCGACCTGCCATTAACAGCATACGCGGTGAATAGTTTAGAGGGAGACCCATTAGAACTCGTCCGGCAGGAGAAAGCTGACCCTAACCTTCGAGAGGTAATCAGAGTGATAAAAGTGGGAGCAGACGTAGATAAACGAACAATGGACAAGGAGGTAATAACGCTGCTTCGGCAAAAGGACCGACTGAGAGTGAACTCATATGGAGTGCTGACCTGGCAGGACGATGATGAAAATTGGGTGGCGGTGATCCCGAAAGACTGGCGGCGTAAACTGATACACGAGTGTCACCAGGTAGCACATACAGGCATCGCAAGAACGACGGACGTACTACGACAAAGTGCATACTGGCCGGGCATGAGGGACGATGTAGCTGAATACGTGTTAACTTGCCAGCAGTGTCAACTAATGTGTGACGACGGAACACGGGTGAGCTCGAGGAAGCTGTAGGAGGCTCAGAAGGAGCCGAAGATATTCCATCCAATCACCATTCAGAAGAATATCCTAGAATTCAACGTGGTCAATGCTAATAATCCCATGTACGCGGATTGGTGGACTGTAATGATAATTTCGTTCTTACTAAAAACTATAAATACCTGTGTGCTCTGTTATACGCTGTATATCAAGAAATCAGCCTTTAAGATATAACATAATGAAAAGCGATCGATACACACAACCGCCATTACAGTCAATCCCAGTAACCGCAGTCGGTGATCTATGGTCGGTGGATATAATGGGACCGTTTCCACAGAGGGCGAGCGGCAATCAGTACATGCTAGTGATGACGGAACATGCTACACATTGGGTAGATGCCGTACCCGTTGCAGACCAACGGGC